CTTGGAAATTTTAATGTCTCCAAAAGGAAACGGCTATCTTTTAATCGTCATAGAGAACTATTTTGTCCTCCATCAACATAGCTGATGCTAACCTCCATTAGAGGAAATTTCTTTCGTCAGAATCCAGCTTGCACATTTATAAATCTACCATTCGTCGGTGCATTGAATATTACTTCCATATTTGGTCTGATGCCCCTACTATATATCACATTATTCTTGACAAAAATCTGAAGAAAGCTCTGTAATTTAATCGATCCTGACCTGGCATTTCGGTTTCAGTATCTTTCCACCACCGTGGCTTCCCTGTGTCTTTTCTATAAATACTTTCATGGCAATTTTTCTAATGAACTTTCCCCCTTGGTACCCCAAACGCGTGAATTTAAAGATTGCCTACTATATCTTATCGCTTTACTGTTGTAGTAGATAGATCAAACCGTAAGTTCTATTCTAATAGTCTCTTTTCGCACTTCTCACCTGTGGAACTCAGTTCCTGTTTCTTGTTACTCTGCCACCTAAAATCTTCAAAAGATTAAATGGAACATCAATCGTCGTTATCTGTCTTTGTGAATTATGTTCTTTTATTGTCCTTTCTCTTTACTAAAGTTTTGACATCCTCTTCCACTTCCAGTAGCCCATTGCATCTTAATGACATTATCGTCTTCCTTGGAGTGAAATAGTTTTTTAAAAAAGCATTAATTCCAAATCATTTCTTAAACTGCGTTTCAAATTTCTCCTACGTGAGTAATGAAAAACTAGTATAAAATTATATTTTCAAAATCATTTTTAAGAATGTTTTCACTTGAAAAGCTCACCTCATGTGCAAATTGTTACAGCCTCGTTATTAATGATGCAGAAATAAACAATCCAACGGTCCAAAGATCACCAGAAGTTCTAGCAGGATTTATTGTTGCTGGACTCATATTTTAACAAAATAAAGGTACGTAGATGACATCACAAATAACTTCCTGGGAATTACTTTAACAAATGACAAAAAAAAAAGTGTCATAGATGCACTATTTCTTTATAGATGAAGAAATGACTTGAGGCAACGGAAATGTGGCTCTGCAGAAGGATTCTGAGAATACCATTGATGGAACATGTGAGCAATGAGGACAGTTTGATTTTAAACCCATGTCTTATTAACTTGTTTTCTTCATCGTATTGCTGCATTTTTGGTAGTGATGTTTTAAATGTCAGTAGATGTATAGATAGCGTAATGGATAACAGCTCGGAATGAAAAAAATGGAGAGCCGAGTTAGTTAATTCCAGTTGGGTTTGTTGCATTCACTTACGCACAATTACACTTGGGAAAAGTATGAATCCACCTCCTTCCATCAGCTCCGAGTTAAATAGTGGGACTTGTATTTGGAAAATCAATGTTATTCTAAATTAGTGATTCTTAAGCTTTTTCCTTCTTTGCACTCCTTTCAAACCTCCAACCAGTTCACGCAACCCTTTCAAACCTCCAACCAGTTTTCGCATCCCCTTCCAGAATTGATGAAAAACAATATTGATCTCATGTGTAAATAACAAAACCATTGTGTTTCTTTAAGCTTTATTCATTATTAAAATTCTTTAAGCTTTATTCACAACAAAATAATGCATTACAGAAACTCAAATTACTTTCATATGAGCCAAAAAAATAAAAAAAATAAAATAAAATGACGCTATTATGATGGTAGCAATTGATAAAATTTCTACAATGTAAACTTTTGTGTCAGATCACCGAACACTACACTAGAGTTTCCTTGATAGAACAACCCTAATCATTCAGTATCCTCGCATCCCCTAGGAACCGATATCGCATCGAGCATCCCTGGCTAAGAACTACTGTTCTAAAACATTATTAATGTAACATTCACTCGCAGAAATAGAATTCTTACAATCCCAAAATATGTTCCGGCTTTAAATAACTGATAAGCCATAAAAAATAAATGAATCAATCTAGGTGTCACTGGGACTATTGTTTTGATTCTGGTTTAACCATTGGCATCCGTAGCCGAATTGGTTGACTCATTCATTGTCCAGATGAGCTATAGGAATATAGGATATGTGTTCAAGTCTGAAATTAGTCCTGTATTCCATTTTTACTCTGCTCAATTTAACTCTCAGAAAGTATTTTGACCTAGAACATGAAAAATGAATATTGTTAATATTAAACGAATGTTTAATTTCGTCAAATGCCTAAAATAAAATATTATGTATAATCAGTTTAATATTTAAGACCTGCTTATTGCTGAAGTTAATAGATAATGTAATACCAGATTAACCTTTAGTATTATGTTCTAGTTCAGTCCTTATTTGAACGAGGACAGCGACAGCAATATTCAGTTAAATTAAAACTTTAATGTTTCTGTAGTTGATCTGAAAATCAATAGACTGGATCAAGCAAAGAATTGTCATGTCAATCCCCATACCAGTATTTTCTGCCTTTTTTCTTTTCTTAATGTAAGCTTTGTAGTATCGGACAGAAAATTAAAAATAGTTAAGTAATAGCATCCTTTTAAGAGCCAATTCAGCGCCGTTTCTTTTGGGTTAGCAGTTTTTATCGGATTAACATATATCACTGATGAGATTCTGGATTCGCCAGGCACATGGCTTGTCAAGTGACACCCTGAGATTGAAATGCCGTGTCGCTGACTTGTATCGTCCGGGTATAAAGTTCTCGATGACAGGTCAGGTAACGAACGACAGCAAACATTCAAGCAATTAGGAAAGTGGTTCTGCTATCGATTTCTGCTCCAATCAATAAAACCCTGGGTTATATATGGAACAAATTTGGGCTAATCGAAGATTAACATGTGGTTAAGTGAATTAGCACATCAAATAAATACAAACAATGTTCCTTGCTGCATTTACGAGACCATATCGGTTTTCTTACATTTGTAAGTACTCAACTGAAAAATGACCAAAAATATCGTTCAGAAATCCTCGTCATATATTGCAAGTTCACTCCAGGAAATTAAGTACAATGGGGAGCTTTAAATAATAAAAATAGATTGCCAATAGAGTAACATTACAAATAGTAATGCTCTTCTTGGCTACGAAACAATTCGATATTTTTAAAAAAAAGCAAAATACATAAAACGAAACTACAGATTTGAACAGTTGTTAGGACTATTGATCACATGATTTTTACTACTAGCATAACGTTTCTGCCGATCTATTCTATGGCCTTCCTAATGTTTATGAAATGTTTTTACGGCTTATCAACCGCTTGTGGTTTATTTAAAAGAGAAAGATATTTGATTGTAAGAGTAATTCTTTTTTTTGCAAATGAAATAAACATTAATATCTTTTTTTTTAATAACAACGATTTATACTATTTAACCCATAGCTGGGGAGGATGAGAGATTCATATCTTTCCCAGGGGTACTTGCACCTAAGTGAAGGTAATGGACACGACTGGAATTAGAACTCAGCTCTCCGATTTCTTATTTTGAGTCGCTATTTATTACACTATCCGCGCATTCACTAATGTTTATAAAAATAAAAAAAAAGATTTTTTTTTTCTTTTCAGCTAGTGTTAAGCAATATAGCAAAACAAAAGTTTCGTAAAAATAGAAGAAAACCACTTGCAATTATAAATAACGGAATTAAACCAATATGGCCAGACAGCGACGCATGTGGCATCGGCCATTTTATATTTCACAAATATCACTTTACTACCTTGCTAAGAAAAAAATGGGTTCGCCTTGGCCTGATATATGCAAGGTTTATATACGCAGCTTCTTTCAAATTTTTCATCATCTACTGACCCTCTCCGTCTATTACTTGAACTTTATTCCAGAGGTAGTAGTATGATCTCTGGTCCTTCATGGTATTGGCTTGACCTACCATATTTTCTCACTTTACCTGTGAACAGGGCTTACTTACGTGTTCATTCGAAATGATGATTCGTTTGAAGACTAAAACTTGTTTCATATTCTTTATTGCCATTTCCTCTAAATTCAATATCTTCGCCCGTGAACACACACTAAAACACACCGACTACGTTAGATATTGATTCTTTTAAACACGCTCACAGAATCAGTTTTCCTTTTTGTTTTGTTTTTTCATCACAACTTTTACCGCTGTAGTTTCGGGTCTGCTTCTCTCTTTCTTTAGTCTTGCTCCCCTTCCCCATCAATATTGTCAATTAGGATGATTAATGTTAATATTAATTAATTGACTTTTGATAACTATTCGGTCTCTTCAGATGATATTTGGTTGAGGAGACTTGAGACAATCTTATGATTGTCTCACGTGTCATTCAAACAAACCAACTGCCTGCTCACTGTAGTGTTGCCCAGTAACAGTATATATAGCTTTCAGCAAATCTGAATAAAGAATTCTTGTTGAATTCCGCAAAACATAGAACGTACTCTTTTTCCAATAAATTCATTTTAGACGGAAATATTGAAAGCTAACATGAAGCTAAACATGATTTATTTCAACATGGATTCTCATAATGAATAAATAGTTTATTATCAATGTTTATCTTGGATTATTTTTCTGTTTTCAGCAAGAAAAAAAAAGATAAGAGTTTAAACAATGGCTAATATTCCTTTCTTTAAATTGGTGTGAAACTCTTTCTAGCCCGTATATGTAGCAAACCCTGTGACTTATAAACGAATGTATGTAGCAACTCGCTTTGACACACCTTGTCAAAGGTATTTGATATATCTAAGCTGAGCATCATTGTGATCAATTTATTGTCTAGTACCTCACTGATTCTGTGAGTAATGAAACATCAGCATTGAACCTCAGTAGAGCGAAATCTATACTGCTTGTCGCTCAGGCGCTTGTTCCTGTTGAACTATTCAGCGATCTTCTTGATTATAGATTCAATGAGTTTGTTGACACTATTTCTGGGATATTTAAGTTTCTTTCAATTTTTTTTATTTAATTGGAAAATGATTAGAAAGAAAGCCAAAATTGAAAAGGACATTCTGTGAAATAGCTTCTTGACACTAAATTCTTTCCTACATGTGATGTTGAAAGAAAAATAAATGACTTACGTTTTTAAACATTTCTACCGCCTGATCAACGTTATACTGGCGAGCTGAAAAAAAGTAAAAATGATAAACAACATGAAACATTAACGAAAACGTTTTAAAACAAACCTTTCAGGATAATATAATATATCGACTAATATATTAGAGTTATTTCAGCATGTTCAGAAGATGATATGAGTATTTATTTCTTTGTCTATCCAGAAAAATACAGTTGGAATATATGTACAGACGGAAATACAAAAATTAATACAAAACTAAAGTTGTTAGTTAGAATAAATTCATCTTTTGTTTTGCGCATAGAACATCTGGAACTCATAAAAAAAACAAAAACAAAAACTTCAAAGCATTTTGCCCGAGTAAGCTTTCTTCAAACATTTCCCAGAATTCTTTTGATGCTTTTATGTTCTTTTCTTGGTTCAGGTAATCCCACACGACTTTCTTATTATTTAAATCGGAGTTTTATGTGAATTCTAATTTGCAAGTGTTCTGTGAGTTTTTCTTTTTCTAAAATATGACTTCAACGCATTAGCTGTGTTTTGGAGACTGAAAAGTAAATATATTCCTAATCAAACATTTTTTTTCAGATAGAATGAACGATGATATAAATGACAGAATGAACGTTTCTGAATATCTATAAAACGCAGGATGTGTGTGTGTGTGTGTGTGTGTGTGTGTGTGTGTGTGTGTGTGTGTGTGTGTGTGTAACGAATGCACTGCCGCAATTTTTGGCGGATTTGCACCAAAATTTACATGCACAAAGTTAGTGGGAAGGTCAAGACCGACTTTGCATTTACCAACTCGCATCGATAGTGGAAATAATCCATCTTTTCATGCTTCTACGGCAGTTTTCATGTAGTTTGCGGCCATTTTGTACTGGCTAGAGTGAGAGCCTATAGCTGGCTGCCACGAATAGGCAGGAAGATTCTACTGGCCAGCGTGAGAGCCAACAGCTGACTGACACGAATGTTAACTAACATGCAAAAAAATTCGATAGTTGCATTCGTCACAAGTGGGAAAAATTTAAATCTGCATGGCACTTTACTCCAATTGGCTCATTCGCTTGCTTAAACTCAACGTTGATTCTGATTCCGCAGAACTGGGTTGGGTGTGAAAAAGTATTTGTTGTTAACATTCTTTTTTCATTTGGTTTTTCTAGTTACGAGTCTTTTTAAAGCTGATCGTTTTGTGTTCATTTTGTTTAGTTCTTTTTTCGTAACAGATTTAATGTTTAGTATAGAGCTTAGAAAAAATTCGCAGGGTGAGATAGGCAAGAAGTAAGGCATGTAGCAACATCAGCACGGCAAAGGGCACTTCTTTAAAGGCAAGGAAGGGCAAAAATATTTTAAGTCAAGTGATAGCGATTGCTGTACGAGTCGTACGATTTTTGAATCAAGCACGGGCAACGCCGGGCCATGCTGCTAGTATGTTAATAGAATGTTTTCTTTTAATTCAAGCAAATATAATCTCCTCCTCACCCCTAACTTGTTTGTCCACACCACAGCAGGATCGTCAGGGTCACCAATTAAATGCAAAAGTGATAGTTTGACTGATAGCACAACAGGTATTTTGAGCACAAGTTCACATCTATTTTGGGTTCAGGAACAATCTCTGTCTCATTATGTTCCATAAACCCTCTCTGATCAATGCCATTTTGCATTGCACTTTCCAACTGGCGTAATTTGCCCCATTCAACAGTACAAGATTAATAAAATTAGCGTCCATCACCATATTTAATCTTTTTGAATCAAGCACGGGCAACGCCGGGTTATGCTGCTAGTTCGTGATATAACCCACTAACTGACAAAATTTCAGCCTCATTACAATTTGAGTTTATTTGCATATTATAACCACGCTGAAATCTTTGGGAGTATTTGCATATTGTAAGATCACTGCAACATTTAGGGGTGTTTGCGTGTTTCAGTCTCACTGCAATCTTTCTAAGAGCTTGCATATTGCAAACTCTTAATTTATTTAAGGGGATAGTTTATTGGTTGCAACATTTCCATTAATGTAATTTCTAATCAAGCTGCTTTGAACTCTCGACTAAGGTACTATATTTGACTGTTTCGCCTTGATTGTCTACAGCGTTTTGACAAATCCTAGCATACCAGATACCTCAACTTCGCACATAACACCCAGAAGATATTTTATTAGAAAAGAATACATCTTATATAAAATACATTAGGATTAATTTTTGATACGTGTTGGTGAATTATTCAAAAGTGGCCTTAAGAAATCAAATAAGCAACTCAAATGGAGACATGCCGAACAACATTTAAATAGATATTTGTCTTATGCATATTAAGAATCATAATTATTGTAGTCGTAATTGATCTAGCGAAACAAGACTGCTAATTATTACACCATAATGTGTAGTAAATTCGATCCTCACTATGTTCTCCTTACTTTCGGCCTTGTGCCACAACTAAGCTTCACTTAGTAAATTACTATAATTACTGACAATATTAAAAATCTTTTTTTCTTTTTTTTTTTTTACTCCGGTTCGAACTCTGAGTTCACTTTTTCTTAGGAAAAGTAACAATCCATTTCTTTGCACCACTCCATTCTCAGCCATAGGTTAAATGGCGGGGCTAACTGGGCTCTTTTGCCTTGAGGTGGCAACCAGTCTAGGAGAATGAAAAGGCTGAAATCAAAACTATCCTGAATAGAGATAACGTCTATCAGGTTATCTTTGCCCTAAACACAGCACTACTACTATTGCTGCAGTATATATTGTGTCGCTACAACCCGAATACGTTATGTGATGTGTGACATGCAAAAAAAAAAAAAAAAAATATGTATTTAGTACATATGAAAGTTTTTTAGACACTAACAAAATTAACGGTTTGTGTGTAGAAGTTTATATGCTAAAAGAAAACAATTTTCGTAAGTTTTTTTTTTCACTTACACTGAAGCTGCTCTAGGAAAATTGCATAAATTTAAGTGTAAGTTCGTAAATTTTGATTTTCATCTACCATGATTTGATGGCATTAAAATCTCTAAAATCAGATTTAAGTACGCAAAATTAATTTCATAACTAGATACTATTCAAATTATTGCTTTTAACAATTAATAGAATACAAAACGTGGAAATACTAACTATAGAAATTCTGCAGTCGAGTAATTTTATACCGTTGAGTATTCCATACATTAGAACACGCCTCGCTCTATTAGATTAATTTTTCATGACTTACCGATCAACCACCTTTTGCAATAAATATCATTCTTCAACTGCTTCTCAGTGGCTATATCCTTCAATCTGAGTCGGAACTGAAAAAGACAAAATCAGAATTTATTCTTGAGATGTCACAAAGGGCAAAGAATTGCAAGATATAATACAGTGACCTGAATATATTCGTTTCTCCTGGGTACTTCCGTTATAATTAGTCACTATTGAAATAAATGCCTTGAAAGTCTCATGAAGCCATAAATCAATCTTTTTATCAGGGTTCTTGATCAAATTTTATAAAAACAGAAGCCACCATCCCATTTCGGTTCTTAATATTTTTTTTATTCCTTCTGTACACATGCGAAATGTTACGCAAACGTCTAAAAGAGTATACAGTGGTTTAATTCATAAAGCAGATTTTTTTTTATATTAATCTTCTTAAAAATAAATGAAATAATTTGCAATTTTTGTTGTAAGAATGAGTAACGACGTCAGAGTGACAAACAGTGAAGACTGTTTTGTGACTTCAGTTTAAAACATCAAACCTTTGGTTTTTGGGTAGTTGCAACTCATTCGTGAAAATTATACAGTAAACTTACACTTATATTATAATTATTATGAAGGAGAAGAGCTTGTTGACGAAAAATTAGAATACCGTTGAAAAAGTTCGACATTTTTGGTTTAATTTCACGGCGTTCAGAACAACCGTGTAAGAACGCACCCTAATATTGATTTGCAAATTTTGCTAAAATCAAAACAGAACCAACAAACATTAAGTAAAGTAAAAAATTAACTTGCATCAGAAGAAATTATAGAGATTTATTTTGAGCGAAGTTAGAATTTCATTTCAGAAGCTTGCAAATATGGCACATTATTCTGGTGTTAAATCCTAATAATTTCAATTACATAATATAGATAAAAAATAATTTTTGTGTTAAAGAACAATATTCACGAAACTTAATATGTTTAAGATATTTGCAAGTGGAAATGGAATGAGGAACATTTATGGCGAGTAAATTTATTTTGAAAAATCACCATTCAAAATCACGGCTTTCATCTGAACTCGGGCGACTTCTTCCTCTCTTTGCCAAATTCTTTCAGGGCGTAAGTGGCCACATTTCCCTATGACTTCTTGCCTTTTGTGGCTCTATTTCCGGTTCCTTTGCATCTGTTTTCTCAAGCATTCAATAGATTGCTCGTTGTCTCTCCCCCCGATTCTTACTTCCACTGTGCCTTATGAGCGTCAAATTATCTAAGCCTTCTTATGCTGGTAATAATTTTTTTTTCAAAAATTTATTGCTGATAATAATTTTTTTACAAAGTATTTCTGGTATTAAAACATTTTTACACTTTCATAGTGTTTTGACCCCAATTTGGGGGTTAACTATTTACCTATAGCTGGGACCCTAACAGGTGCTACCACCCCGAGTCAAGGTGGACCTGGGAACACCAGCAATTAAAAGGTTGTTCCACGCTCCTCAAAACCTGATCAGAGGCCTTGCTGTCAGATGTAGTTTATTGTCTTACCCAGGACGCGGATGTAATTTATCGTCATACTAAGGACGGCTATTTTTAAAACGAAGTGTCTGTGAAGGGGAGAAATTCGCTTTGGCACCCACGCCAGGTTAAACTTGTTACTCTTGGCTAACTTAGTGATTGTAACATCCATTCCCATGCTTCGTTCCTTGCACGATTCCACTTTTATTTCCATCATTTTTTCTATTGTATACATTAACGTTTTTTCTTTGCTGAAACTTTGCCATTATTAATTTATTTAGTCGTCTCAGAAAACGACTCTTTGGAATAGGGAATGCAAGCTTAAATCTCGGTTATTCTTTATTTTATGGTAATGACACGGAAGAAATTCCTGAATTCCGATAAAAAGAAAAAAAACTATATATAAGAGACTTTTTTTGTAGGAGTTGTGCTCACAAGTCTCAACTTGGAGCGTCGAGAGACAGCAAGTATTATTTTACCTAAATAACATGCCGGTGTAGTGGAAATCGGGAGAGAAAAGGATAATGCTATATAGCTGAACTCTAATGAATCGTATATTTCATAATCTATTAGTAAGGTCTTTCCGCGTGAACACAAACCTAAATAAAGAACGTAAGTACAAATCTCGCCGGCGGCGTATTCCTTATTTTCATTTCCTGTTGCTTATTTAGCGATCGTGGAATAACAACCAGAGAGTTTTAATTTACAAAAAATACGCATAAATTAAATAAAGCAAAAGAAACCATATGAAAGAGTCACGTCATAACATAAAATTCCTTTATCTTTCATCTCATTGGTCCTTCATCTTGCGTGTCGATCATCTTGAACCTTCTACTTCCGGTTATATTTTACTAATTCCTTTCGTTTCTTCTTATCGTTAATAGAGCCGCCGACGGTCTTCCTCTTTTCCATTTCTTGGCTTTTGGAGACCAAAAGTTAGCTGTTTTAGCAGATTTTCGAGAACAATATATTTCAATTTTTTTTTTTTTGAGGGGTGAACGGGTCCTACTAAGATCAGTTAGTTTTAGTTTGTGTGTTTTGTTATATTTTAATTTGTTTTCGGGTTCATCTCCACGCCTTCATTTCTTATCATTTAATTGTTATATATCATTCTATAACAAATAAATTTTTATCATGGAGTGTTTCGTAGGTTCCCTGTGTATGCGGTATTGTGGTATATGTAGGATTGAATGATTAGAGGATGAGTTTTTGTGGTAAATGTGCAAATTGTAAGGAATGAATGGGTCGTAAATCTGATTAGCTAGGTATAAGATAGTGTCGACGAGACTCAACACATTCCCCTTTTAGGCCTTGTGCCACAATTGTATTCATTAAATATCATATCTTTCAATTTGGTAACATTAGTTCACGTCACGTGTTCGTTCGGTATACACTCACGTAGTGATATATGAAAAAAGAAGCTTCGTCCTCCCGTCCTTTGGATAATTGAAAGGCCAGACTTTACTTTTTTTGTCAATGACGAGTTGTGGCTAGAACTGTGCTGTCAAAGATGTGGGCTTGTGTCTTAGAAAAAAGGTTGTTTAGCTAGCCATTTTCGGACCTATAAGTTCTTATTTCATGTAGTTGTCATTGCTTGTAGATGTTCTGTTGAGTTATCAAGTTTTATTAAGTTTGATTGATTATGAGGCTTATTTTCTGGCTTTCTGTAACTCATAAATATCAATAGATATTTATGGCATAAAAATGCTTCTTTTTTAATCATTTCAGAATTGATAATAACAAGGAATTGATAATAACATTGAATTAAGAATCCGAGTTTCTGTCGTCAAGTGGAGTTGCATCTTTCATAAATAAAGATAGTTTTTACGGTTTTCCAATAAAATGAAGAGTGGTGTTGGTATTTATTAAGCTTCGACAAGAAATGATAAGCGTTAAGCGAGGATCGAACGCATTACAATAATAACGGTGTACGAGTTTAGTTTGCTAGACATTGCAAGGTATGAAAATGGAGAGCTGTATCTTAATATGTATTTCCCTTAAATAAACGAACAAACTACACTTGACCCCACTTTCAGAAATTTCAGAAATAAACCATGTATTAGATCTTGTCCTTACATTTAAGGTCAGGGGGGGCATCAAATCTATGAATGTTTTGCTTCAAGATTTTCACAAACTTAGGGTTAGAAGATTTTTTTTAAACTGGAGTACTTTTCTTACAACAACGATTTTCAATGATGAAAGCGAAAGGTACTAACTGAAAAAGGAAAGAAAAATCGTTTGCTGATGTTGCTAAGATCTATGGTAAGAACGAATCTTCTATACATCACATGATTATTATTACAATATTTTGTTATAATTGTTATAGTTTACAATATTTATCTCTTATGTCTAGTTTATTTATGTGGCAAATATGGACATTCGTATCTGCAAATGGACAGTTTTCCCCATGACTTCACTTTTATTTTAACCACCCTCACTCTTCAGCAATTTTTATTGTTTTAAAAAGCGATGATTGGAATTGTAATAAAACCGAAACATTTTTAAAGCGTAAAAAATGTTTTATAAGTATAAATAATGGTTAAACATAGTATATTTAGAGTCTATATTTCTGAGATGAGGTATTATGTATATTATTTACATTATTCGGACTATTTTCCTCATCTTTGACGCCATATTTATCACAACGTCTCGGCCGAGGACAATAGTCTGAATAATGTAAATAATTCAGTATATTTAGTGATTGGTACTGTATTTTCATATGTGCTGGAGGTTTACAAACTTATCCCCGAGGATAGGTGGGTATTAGTGGAGATCTAATTTTCTCTTTCAATAATTTGAAATAAATAAAAACCATAATAATTAGAAGTTGTTTTGTGGACATATTAAAGAATGGCGGCTTGAAGAATTAAACACTCATAGGGCGCATCTACAGCAATAAAAGCAGGGGAGGCAGCGAGTGATCTACTTGTTAAGTTTGAGCAAATATATGGAGAAAGAAGTAGCCATAAAGGAATAAACGTTGCTGAAAGTAAGAAAATAAAGGAAGTTGAGGAGAAACATGATCATCTACTTCCTGAACGGACTTGACACATAAAAAGAGAGAAAGATCTGCAAGCCAACATTTTGTCCTTGTGTTCAGATTAACTACCCATGATACCTCTTTGTATTCTCACCTACCCGCTACCATAGCTCTATGTTAAATACTTATTTACGACTAGGGTTAATACGCATTATTCGAGTGACTACTTAAAGCTATCTCATGTTAATAAGTGTGCTAACGACTTTACTCTTCACTCACCTCCCATCCTAACCAGTTCACAGAGAGGATTAGCCCGAAGACAAAATATTACTTGGCATTTGAAAAACTAACAACGTGTAAGTCGCTTTTATATAAAGGTCAAATTTGGCGCTTAAATAAACTGTTCATCGGCACTAAATACACCTTGGGTAAAATATATTTCGCCTATCTAAATTCTTCGACATATTTTTATATTCCTGTACATATCAGCTGTGCAATTTTAATTAATTTTTATAGTTGGAATTACTGGGCATTTTCTTGCGAATTTGTTTTTGTTAAATTATTGCAAAAATCAGTACAGTAAATATTAGTATTAAAATAGAAAATCGAGATTCGATTAAAAAG